ACTATCTTCAACTAACATTTGAAAAATCCTACTCAGCTACCAAGTCAGCTGTTATTTGCTGCATTTCGTGTATCAGACATGTCCCTTTCAAATGTTTTAGGTTGCTTAATTGTTCTTCTCGTCTGATTTTTTTAAAATGATGAGCATTGGTGTAATAGTAAAACCATTCTTATGATGGCTTGTAGGTTTCAAATTCAAAACATGAAAATGGTTTCTCTATGATATTGCAAAGAATCAGAAGTGGAGCCAAGATTTTAATTTTGTGGGTTTTAACTTTTAAAACGACCGACTTAAATTGCTAATAATAGATTCTGAATTTAAAATTATACATATTTAATAGTTTTTTAGCACAAATATTTGTTTGAAAAAGAGTCTGTCGAACTCGCATCTAGGCTTCTACCTTCGCCAATACTTCAGTGTCCGATCAAAGAATATAAGGATTCTTTTGGGTGAACATCCATTAAATCTACATAAAGTAATTCTGTTCTCACGAATGACTCCAATTTTTTACACGTAATGGTATTATTTGTGCACGCCATTTAATTTTATTATAATGTGAATGTTTTATGTTGACTAAGAAAAAGGAAATATAATTTTCATCTCAACTTAAAAGAAGCTATTCATTGAAGTACTACTATACTGCTAAAAGAACTCGCCGCGCCTATATTGGGCCCTGAAAAGGCCTTAAGCAACGAAAGTAGGTTTCGCGGGCTCAGAAATATAATTGGACTTGACTAGAAAAGTTCTTTTCTCTCTTTCTCTTTTTTTTTTTTTTTTTTTTTTTTTGTTTGGAGATTTTTACATTGTTGGTCGTTGATAAAAAATTATTTTAATAAAGAGCAGCACCTTTGATTTATTTCAAAAATAATAAATTTATTAACATTTATAGCATCTTCAAGATTGTTTACGTGCAAACAGGTTTTAAAGTTAAATAATGATCTCAAATTAAGGCATCAGTAATCCTTATCAATTTATTCCCAATTCTCTCTCATAATTAAATTATCACTCATTCTCTTTCATCATTAACAGTATCCTTACCATTGTAGGTTTTATTTCTCAAAAATTGGGTAAGATTGGAAGAAGTGTAATTATAGGATTATAATATTCAATGTTATTTCAAAAAACCCCCAGATATATACTCATAAATAAACTGTAAAATAAATATAGATGTGTATACGTTATACCATTATTATGTTATTTATATAGCCAAATATGCTAATCAATTATGCAATATTCCAGAATTATTTCAAATATATACCAGCAATATTTTTCGAAATAAAACGTATAAATAAACACACACATATACATTATGCCTTTAGTATACCATTCATATAATAAAATATTTCTAATTAAAATATGAAAAAACCAGAATTATCATAAATATATTGGTATTATTCCGTTATTATACCCATATAATTAATATCATCTATTAATATATAATAGGAGAGGCAAAGAACTATTATGATGACAGTGGCATAACATTAAATTGACACATGTAAAAATTTGGACAATCCTCCAACTTTCTTGGAGTTTCAAAATTCAAATTTATTTAAAAATAGATGTGAAAGACACGTTTTTTTTCAAAATTCAAAAATTTTAAATTTTTCAAGCAATAAAAACTACCGATAAAAACCACCAACTAGTCCCACTTCTTCCACTCCCCTTCCTTTTAAAAACTAACTGAATTTCCCTTCTTGCAAGACACGTTTTTTTCAAAATTCAAAAATTTTAAATTTTTCAAGCAATAGAAACTACCAATAAAAACCACCAACTACTCCCACTTCCTCCACTCCCCTTCCTTTTAAAAACTAACTGAATTTCTCCTCTTGCATATATTGGATTAGAAAAAACGTATAGTTCCCTTTTTTCTTTCACCGAAAAATTTGCCAGGGAAAATTTCATCCAAAATCGTTCTTTGTGATTTTTCGTTGTTCGATGAGTAAATTGCTAAGCATCTAATCATCATTTTGCAATTATGCATCTCAAGTGATGTACTTTCTTCTACTTTTGACTTTTTCCTTTCATGTGTGAATGCTGAATATATATATATATGACCATCTACATACTTTGTTTTTATCAACGTAATACATAAAACTTTTCCCTTCTTTAAAATCTTTAAAACACAAAAAAGAATTTCTCAAGTTTTTGTTTGTTTCCTCGATTTAAATAGTGAAAGGAAGATTTTTTTTTCTTCTAGAATTCTTTCATATTAGTTTAGCCTTTATTCTTAGCAGAAGGGGTTGTTTTTAAAAATGGAATATTCTCATTAAAACTCATAAAGTATTAGGAATGATTAAACTACATGGATTAAAATTTATAATTTGCGCGACTCTAAATGCAAAGAAACATTACCCTTTCAGTTAGTTTAGGCATGATCTTAGCAAGTTTATCCAGAAATCATACAAGTTTATCCGGGGAAAATTGCATCCAAAATCGTTCTTTGTGATTTTTCGTTGTTCGATGAGTAAATTGCTAAGCATCTGGTCATCATTTTGCAATTATATATATATATGACTATCTACATATTTTTAACTTAAAGTAGGATTGGGACATTGAGACTTAACTCATCAGGAAGTGACGGATACGAGTCAGCGCTAACTTTGCTGGGCACTGGTGTATTTAATCTTGATTAGTGTTTTATGGGGAAAATCATGCTATCAATCTCCAGTTTGTTCATGAAGTCCTCATCGCCATTTGAAAACAGGATACACATAAACATTTTGAAGGTAGTCTTTCAGATTAAAGTTTCTAACACTATCAAGTTTTTAACTCAAAGTAGGAATGGGACATTATCACATTGAGACTTAACTCTGAATCATATTGTGACAAAATTGTGCAAGGACAGTATACTTTACATATTAAAGTAAGAGATACCAATAAGTAATAACATTATCATGTGACAATTCAATCTTTACAAAAACTAAAACTATTTTCGTCGATATCATACTTAATTATGTAGCCAACTCTAAAGTCAAACATCATAACGAATCTAAGGTTACAGAAGCCTTCGACACTTTTATTGCAAGTGTTATTGGCGCTATAAAGCAAGTGCGCTCAATCATTTTGACAACACATTCTATGGAGGAAGTTAATATTTTATTTTATCAAATTGGAGTTATGTAAAAGGGCATACTTTACTGTCTTGATGATGTGAATTCCACAAGTAATATGATAGACAGGAAATGTATTGAGATTGTCAAAGAATTCTTTAGACATGTCCTTTTACCAAGAATTTTTTCTTGATATTTTCTACTATTAATAAATTCATGCTCCTAACTTAAGTTTTTTGTTTGACTTGACTTAGATGTCACACCCAAAGAGGAAGATAAGTCATGCTTGGCATTTGTTGTTCCTCACGACAAGGAGAATCAGAAGACGTATTAATATGATAACATTTCTGATATTCTGTTTATATGTGTGTGTGTATGTGTGCACGTCTGTATCAGAAGCTCTTTACTGAGATAGAAATTAGTTAAATGGAGTTTGGCATATGGGACATCCATATGCCTTACAATGCTAAGAAGTCTTCTTGAACATTGCTGAGAAGGCAGAGCTATAAGAACATGAATCTGAAGGAAGCATCAAAACACTAATTTTAGCATTCAAAACTACTCCAGGTAAGTGCTTCAGTTTGAGTTAACATTATGTTGTCAAGTGGCTCATTACAATCTAACGAAATACAACTTGATATAGCAACTAGGTTGATGTATATAACAAATAGGTTGATGTATATATGTAGTTTATAAACAAAATTTGAGGGATCAAACAATTAATATCTTTAGTATGACAGTGGGATATCATGCACAATGATTGTGGGTTTTATGATTTTTAAAGTGTGCAATTAAAGATCTGTTCACTTTGATAAGATTTATGGATATCCTTTGTCCACATGGATACTTAAGGATATTGCATAGATTTTGGCAGCTTAAGAATATTTTCGGCCAAAAGATCTGATTCTTCATTTCTAAAATTAATTCTCTATAACTAGGCTAAGTTATTCAATTTACTAGGATCTATCTTTTATATAAATTCAATACTATTGTATTATACTTTGTTTTTATCAACGTAATACATAAAACTTTTTCCTTCTTTAAAATCTTTAAAACACAAGAAAGAATTTCTTAAGTTTTTGTTTGTTTCCTCGATTTAAATAGTGAAAGGAAGATTTTTTTTTTCTAGAATTCTTTCATATCAGTTTAGCCTTTATTCTTAGCAGATGGGGTTGTTTTTAAAAATGGAGTATTCTCATTAAAACTCATAAAGTATTAGGAATGATTAAACTACATGGATTAAAATTTGTAAATTGCGCGACTCTAAATGCAAAGAAACATTACCCTTTCAGTTAGTTTAGGCATGATCTTACATATGTGAATGTATCATTGCCCGTATTTCTTTGCCAAATTCTGTCTTCATCATTGTTGTAATATTTTCGTTGAGTTTTTTCGCATCGAGTTAACAATTCAGGAAGTGTAAAGTCATACATCGAGAAACAACAACTTTGGTTGTGGAAGACAGAAATCATACAAGTTTATCCAAAGTTTGATCTTTGATGTTCGATCTTTGATCATTACATGAATTCATTTGTCAGATAAAGTTTCTAGCCAGAGAAATCAAACAATTTCGTGGAATTTGTTGTAAAAAGTGAGTTCAGTTTGCATTTGCTTAGATTTATATTCCCGAGAAAGATGGAGTTCGACGAGAATGCTTTGTTCGTAAAGCTCATTATTTTATTTTATTTTATTTTATGTAATAAATTCAAGCTAATTGAACAAAGACAGTGATTTTGTTGCATATATTGTAGTCTTAAAGATTGTGACTATTTTTTTTTTGTTCCAAATACGATTTAAGAAGTAGAGGTTGTTACTTTTATTAGCCAATAACATATTATTTTTGATCACTTTTCAATACCATTTCAAGTAATATTTCTTATTATTTTTTAATTTTATAATTCCCCGCGCATCGTGCGGGTACGGATACTAGTTTAGAAAGAAAAGAAAAAGGGTTTGGATGGAATATGGAAGAAGCGTGATTACAGGTGAGAGATTTTTTTGTTTGTTATACGTTTCTGATATGGAAAGAAAATATTTTGTTGCCATCCATGTAAATCTCCTTGTGATGCTAGGATTATGTGATTTTGTTTGAAAACCTGCCTAGTTTTCTATTTTACCGAATTGTTTAGGATTATGACCAAAAAGAGGAAGAATTCTGCCTTCCTCTTGTATTAATATTCCTGTGTACAGTTTTACAGTAGCATGGTTTCTTCAACACAAAATTACCTGCGCCTTACTCCATTGAAGCAAATTGAGGGTCCTTTCCCTATTTGTATTCTGAAAAAATCCTTCTTTTTCTTCTATCCCTCCCCTTCAGGACCAAATCAGTCAACTTAGAACAATGGCTAAGAGCGAGATGGAGTTAAATCAACTTTCCGAAATTGCCAATAAAGCTACAGATGCTGCAGCAGTAGTAGTCCGCAAATACTACTCCAACGCCGCAAGATTCCAGTTCAGAGAAAAAGACGGCGACGGACCAGTCACCTGTGCTGACGTGGAAGCCGAACAGGCCGTAGTCTCCGTGATTCTAGAAGCTTTTCCTTCCCATTCGATTTATCGTGAAGAAACCGGTTGGCACAATCGCGATAATGCTCTTCTCCCTAATCAATTCATATGGGTTTCGGACCCAATTGATGGGACTTCGAGTTTCGTGGGTAAAGACAACTGTGCTTTCGGAATTCTCATCGCTTTGGTTTACAATGGAAAGCCAATTAACGGTTGCATCGATCAGCCAATTTTGAAACTCAGGTGGATTGGGATTAAGGGGAAAGGAACGACGATCAATGGCCAAAAAGTTTCTACACTCGATTGTTGTGATTTGGATAAAGCTAGGGTTCATTTGAAGGTTCCAAATTACAACGACGATGCAAAGAGAGCATATGATTGTCTTTCGAACAAGGTGGGTAAGAGGTTATTCAATGGGAATTGTATCGTTTTTGGTGAATTGGCTTCGGGTTTTGTTGATGTTGTGGTTGATTGTGCTCTTGATCCGTACGATTTTCTCGCGCTTGTTCCGGTGGTTGAGGGCGCCGGCGGCATTGTTACTGATTGGGAAGGGCGTGAGCTTCTCTGGGATGCTTCAACCCGGTGCCGGAAGGTGGGTTTAAGATTGTGGCTACTGTTGGAAAAACCATACATCAACGTGTTATTTCATATAGTTTATGCAATTTTGTAAAGAATCAGGGTTAGCTACTATATTTGGATTATTTCACTTGATCTAATTGATAACCTCAACCTGTAATGAATTAGTTTTTGCAATTTTATTTCGCCTATGTTTATGTGACTTTGGATTGACAAATGTAGAACTGAATAAGAACAACAATAAATCTAGTGTAACGCCGAGTGGGGCCTGGGATAGAACTGAATAAGCTCCACCAAATAACGATTTGTACGTTATAAGAGAAAGGAGTGAAAAGCTATGTGAAGTAAAAGAGGAAAGACTCCAGCTCGAAAAAACAGTGTACATCATGATCTATCCTATCCTTTATAAAGCTCAAAGCAAGTAAGCATTTCGAGTATATGGAAGCAAGAAGTGTTAGTACGTAATAAAAGAAAAAAGGAGATAGAGGCTAGCATAACAATTCCAGATTGAAGCTAAATTCACTGCACAAATTATGTTAGGAATACAAACCAAATGGTGGCTACTGTTCCACAAAATTTGAACATGAAAAGTGCATACTTACTGCAGAAACTAATATGTTGCAGCAAAAGAAAGTATGAATATTAACATGAGTTAGTAGGAATCTGCAGGGCTATTTATATCTCAGTTTGACTCATAAGTTTGGCTCAAAAGCGTGCATCATTACCTTCACAGATGATTACTACCATTCTGCTCATTTTGGAGAATTGTTTGCTCCAAAAACTCAAAAAAGGATAGTAGAGCCAAGTAGGTTTGACAATATCATGGCTAAACTTCTGAGAATTTCCTTTGAAATTATGACAGGACACTGAAGAATAAAAGAACTCCAGAAACCAGAATTTTTTTTATTAAAAGATGACATTAGACTTGAGTGTCTTCTTATCCAGATGATCTAAAACTAGATATTTGCACAAAAGTATGCATCACTACCTGCACTTCTTTAAACAAATAAGAAAATCAATTGCGACAAAGCATCACTTAGTTGCAGCAATTACAAACTTCTCATGTTAAGCAATGAGATTGATGATTCAAATCTTGAACTCAGAAGAATACAGAGACATTGATATTCAGAACTGCTCTGCAGAATAGGGTGCTATAACCCGCTCACAAAACAAGAGCAGATTGTTTGACGCAGAAACAAAAATACCGTATTTCTTTTCTACATCAAGAAAGCTGACTGAAATTCATCAACACTTAAACTTCATAAAGAACAACTTGCACAGTCGTTATAAACAACAGAATCCGTTAAATTACATCATAAGTCAACGATATAGTCGAATACTGAGAGCCAAGTTCTCCCAAAAGCCAAAACATAAGCAAAGCCCAGAAGCCCACCTTTCAGGCATGTAACATGGGCACATAGAGGGATTATCTGAATTCCATTTAGCCAAATTTTCATAGAAATGTCTGCAATCATTTAGAAAGTTATCCACCATACAACAAAGACCTTTATATTAGCCAAAGATACATTTATATCAGCTTAGACTACAATTTGAATCAAGTTAGAGCTTACAGCAATTCATAACAAGGAAGAAATCATGTGGACTTCCAGCAGATGTACTTTAACCTAGTTAGATTGAACACAAGGCGCTAACTACTTTTCCAGCCAAACCTAAAAAATGGCTAGATATGGAACTTAATAATGAGTTTTTCTGAATTGCATAGTTTTTTCCTAATATACCAAAGTAACACATTTATTCCTTTGATTCTAGTATCACAACTTAACTTTGATAATGGAACAAATTTCCAAATACTATTGGATACTGTAACCGATGCAATGGAACAGTATTTCAGATGATTTTAGTTTCTGTTAGCTTATGCAAGAAAGTAGAAGGAATTCAGTTATAACATTTCAAGGCTCCAGGTATGAGACTCAGTTCTTCAACAATTTCAGAAATTTAAAAGCATGAGCTAAGATGAAACTGACTCGTGCATTAATCTGTTAGCTCATCCACAGAGGCATATAAATGGGCTACAATGATAAATCAGTGCCCAACAGTGAGTTTTCCCTACTCCCAAAACTCTGACCAGTAGTGGTTATGGTACTGACTCGTAAAACAAACAAAGCATGTTTGATATTGGCTTGCCTACTATAAACAAAATAAAACAGGGAAGATGCTATTGATACATAAGATTGCAAACTGCCCTCCTTGTAAGGCCAAGAAAGCAACAGCAAACTAAACTAAGGAGCCGTTAAACAAGCTCATTATGAGCTAAATGGATCCATGTAAAGAACTGCCAACAACTCCCCTCAATCCTTCAGCTTCTCTCTTGATCACAAAAAGACATTACTGACATATTCCTGGAAATTCCTCTGGAGAGATCTTATAAAGGCATCAATATAGTGGATTAGAGCAAACACTTTTGACTTGTGAAAAACACTAGGGCCCATTTGGATGGTAGGAATTGGCCCTATGTCTTTTGAATTCATAATCATGTTCACCTATTTGGACATACCTAAGACAATATTAATTGAAAACTAACTCAAAACACAGCTCATTTCAGCTCTTACTTCTAATTCATTTCAAGTGACACGTGAAAACATGTCACTTGAAATCTTAAATATTTGAATCCCCTCCCTCAATTGTCTCCATCAAAAAAGACACGAAAGAAAATACCATAATTACAATATTTCCAGCATAAACACATTGGAGGAAAATCTAAAAGTTCAATGCAAGAAACCATGTTCATGCTTGTTCTTCACCTCTCTACCTCAATGTGAACTCAGGTAGCATCGGTTCAAATAAGTAAAACCATAGTATCATAGCTAGTAGTAGCTACAACACTTAGTATGAGCTATCAGCTCCAACCTTGGTAGGTACGTTTACCTAGCACCTATAATTGTTATAGCAGACTCCTGGCAGATTATTCGAGGTGCAAAACAGTTGACTAGGACATCACCGTCATTAAAAACATTGAAAAATAATAATTTAAAGACCCTTATGGAAGCAAGATAGTTTTAGAAGTTAAATGGAATATTTGACGAGATAACAACAGATATATGAAATATATTACACATTATAGCTATTAGCGTCTTTTCATTATTCGCACAAAATGTTCTTGGCAACTTCTATCATGTAAGCATCAAGAATATGTAGGTCTTCTGTTCCCAAGAAATAATTAACTGCCAACATGAGAATTAGAAACCAAAATATTAACTTCTCGAGAAAGAACAGTTGTGGCAATCCCACACTGCGATGCCTTGAAAGTGTTATGGAAAAGTTGAACAGACGGGAAGGAAGAACCATGCTATTGAAGAAAATGGGATTTATGGGAAAAACCAACCTATTGCTTCAGCTACACATAAATGAAAGACATCAACAATAAGGAAAGAGGGGCAACAAATAAATGGAAAGAGAAAGCTCACCTATCAGTTGAGTGCGTGTCCAGTATTTGGTCAGGCAAGTGAAAGTTTGCATAAAAGAAAAATAAAAGACGGAGAAATCTAACTGGAATATCGCATCAGATTGCATCTGCTGAGAATATTTTGCGCTTCCCAGGGATAAGCGGACGTATACAGTGTAAAGAGAATTGGCATGTTAAACTTCCGTAAATTTTTTAGTCATGCTTAAAATCACCCGGAAGATGTCATTCACAGATCAGTTAACACAGCAAGCAATGGACCAGTTAGCAAACAGCATCTATTTCTCACTTTGGATTGTGGAGATATGGACTTAGCATTTGGTAGACAGATAGCCATATTCAGGCTTGCTGAACTCCCTTAAATCTCAATGCAGTAAATCAAATGCCATACTCCGTCTAAGCTTCAAATACTTTAAAGACTAACAAGATATAGCACATACCACTATCTTTAATATTGCATCTAGGGTCATATCAGCTGAATGCTCTTATGATGTATTTACATAACATAGCCTGCTGCAAACAGCATATGTTGAGACCATTGCTATAGGGTCTCAGTTCATCAATAGCAATTGAACCACCTGCATGGAAGTGGTCATTTAACTTAGTAAAACAAAAACTGTATATCTTAATAGTATGCAAGCTATAACCATCGACATAGGACTTTTTTCGGGCACACTGATATACTCAACCAGCATCAAACACAAAAATGGACAACTGAAAAGCTTATTGAACAACGACAGATACCAATTGCTAGTTAATGTTTCGTAGAGTAATTATAGCCATGCAAAGAAGTCAACAAGAGAAAGCGTTGACCAAGAATAAAAGGATTTCATATGCTTCTTCATGGAAATTGGAAAAGAAAATGATTGGAACTATAGTTGAATAATTTACAACGGAAGGGGCAAAAATGTCTATTTGTCTCGTCTCTCAGCTTGAGAAACTGAACATACGAAAAGAACAATTAACCATTTAAAAATGAAAGTATAATTGAATTTCATTCTCAATAAATCACAGCTGGGTAAAGTATACGTTAGAACTCTAGGTTGAATCCAATCAAATTGCCTATTCGTTTTTCCAAGCATATAAAAAGAGTGAGAAACCAAGACTATGCGACTGGGCCTCTCGGAATCTCTGCGACCAAGACCAATGTAGTGTCTGGGGATCGCAGACGGGCTGGGCTGCCCATAATTTCTCAGCTGAAATGCTGGTCTTGAACATAAACACACCATTTCCAGGGGACGTGCCAAAAAGCCAGTTATGAACATCCCAAAATACTTCTACGCCAAGGCCATCAACCAAAATGGTATGGTTACCGCGGAACTTCCATTTGAGCCTCTTTACCTGCAACATCGGCTTACTGTCAACACGGATGACAAGGCATGGGTCGCTGGTCCCACTGGTATCACATTCAATCACGAGATCGTGGACTCTGCCACCATCGCAAAACTGAGCTTTAGTGCCAAACACCTTCTTGCCAAATATATGCTCCTTCTTAGCAATAAAAACAGCACCAGAAGCAGAAGGGTTGGCACCTGTTTTCTTGGTAGCTTCTTTTCTCATATCACCAAGGAGCAAAATCATTTGCCTTTCGGAAACAACACAAACATAGAATCCTTCTAATGGCTCCGGACCAGATCCAAACTTTGCTGAGGTAAGGTCCCAATATACATCAATTTTCCTAGAATATGCTTCTAAAGTCTTTGACCCTTTCTTCTTGGAGAACAACCAGGGCTTAATATCAACTTTACACAGGCACTGATTTGTATTATCATCAATCCCAACAGTAAG